GTAGATATGCAAGAAGCAATTCTTCTGAAACCATGTTAACTGGGGTTCGAAAAAGAAAAAAACGTTAAGTACGCTGCTGTAATTAGAGACCCGATTAAGAAAAAACGGGTTTGGTTGGGCACCTTTAGCAGTGCTCAAGAGGCTTCCAAGGCTTATTTCTCCAAGAAATGTGGGTTTGAGAAATTAAACCAGGGAAAACAAGGTGGCGAATCAAAGAATTGTGAACAACTTCAGCCTGATTCATCTGGTGGAGATTTATCTCCTCTGGCTAATGATCAGTCCTTAAATACTGCTGGTGTAAGTAGAAGTGGAAGAAGCAGTTCTCCCGAAACAACACACTTCATTGGGGTTCGCAAGAGAAATTCAGGGAATTATACTTCTGAGATTAGAAACCCCATTAGTAAGAGAAAATTTTGGTTAGGGACTTATGGTACTGCTGAAGAGGCTTCCCAGGCTTATCAATCTAAGAAGCTCGAGTTTCAGAAACAACTCAAGGCAAAGCAGCAATGCAGTAAGCTAACGTCTAGTGCATGGGAGAAGCAGGATGCAAAAAGAAATTAGTCAATGTCAAGCTAGGACATGAAGCTGTAAATCGTGAAGGATTGCAGCCTGAACAGCTGGTGGATCCTCGTCCTCAGAAATTGATGTTCCAATATCAAATTCGTCGGATGGAGGAAGTGACCAGGGGATTGATTTTCATGAAATAATCCACTCCATGAGGTTTCGAAAGGGAAAATCAGGAAAATATACGACCGAAATTACAAACCCCATTAGTATGACAAATAGTTTGTTGGCGACTCTAGGCCCTACTAAAGAAGCTTTCCATGCTAATCCGTCTAAGAAATTGGATTTTCAAAGCTCAGAAAAGGTCGAGCTGCAAAGCCATATGCCAACTGATTCTACTGCAGGGGAGAAGCATGCAGATCAAGAGGATGAAGATTTGTGGATGGGGCAATGGGTCCAACTTCCAGGTGATAGGGCTGCCAGATTGTCACTACGACTGGGCTTACCAATCATTGATCACTATGGATCTCTTTTAGGTGAGTTCAGTTGTTTGGATGATCTCAGTATTTGCTGAAACTGAGGACAACAATGAAATGTAACTATGTCTCTCCTAGCTTATAGTTTGAGAATTTGTTAATAGCATGAAGATTTTCGGGTATTTTACAGTTTTAGGACTCTGTGGAATGTAGATAGTAGTAATGCGCAAAATTCTTGCAATTGTTGGTCTTAGTAAATATGATATTGACAAATGGTATATGTTATATTAGTAAACAAGTAGCCCTTATATCCTTATTCTCTATGTGTTGGAGTTTTTCTCAGTTCTCCTGTAACTTTAAGAAAAAAGAGGAAATAAAGGCAAGAAGAAGAGATAATATTTGCTGGTGGAAAGTAATATTCAGAACTGAAAATGGTGCTTAAATACAGAAAAAACTGAACAACTAGATCCTAGAATTAAGCAACTATTTGGCACATGATCAACACATGATTCCATGATCAACAAACTCCTAAAAATCAGCAACTAAGTTAAGAATACTAAAATGTAAAACATGTGAAGAAAAACATTCAGCAGTTGTTTGACTTAATCTTGCAGTAACTGAGGCAATTGTTCAACACTATGTTTGTTTCTGCTGTTTTCTGGAAATTTCTAATAGAGTGCTAATTAGTTATTTTCATTGTAATGCCTTTGGGGACGTCTCCTAAAAAAAATGGCCTTTGAAAAGTTCATGTCTACATCCTTTCGACTAGAGAAAATGGTACAACAAACGCCAAAAAATTTCAGTCCTGACTGTAAAATGTTAGACCTGTTTTGCACTGTAGTCATATATTACAAAATTGCATATCGGTATGTTATTATTGCCATAATGCCCTTCAATGAAAGAGAGAGGAAAAACAGAGTGAAGTTGGATCAAAGACTCAAAGGAGACACAAAATAAAGAAATAAGAAAAGGAGGAAAGAATGCATAAAGTAAACAAATTTGTTCTACAACGGCCATAACTGGAACACAAACTCAACTTCCCCACTTCCTTAACGTAGCCCAAAATAGTGCATAATAAGCTGCATCAAGTGGAGCTTGAGCATGCAATGTTTGATATATTGAGGCAATTGGTGCTTAGTTAAGGGACAAATATAGAGCAATTCCAGGTCCCCACTTAATAGGCTATTTGGAGATGCACCTGCTGTTGCTGAGGAGCCAGCAGCGTGCCGTGGAAAGGATAAATGGCCAGTAGAACATGCTGTTTCTCCTCCTTATGAATAAGATTTTCTCCTCTTTAATTATGTGGGACTCTGCCACCATTCAATTGCTAAGAATTTAAACTGAAGGATTTCTGTGTTAATTTTGCAGTGTATTCATTATGTCAGTCATACATTTCCTGTAATAACACAATGCTTTAAGAATAACATTAATCTTCTCTGCACTTTCTGTGTTAGTGTCATTTTTCTGGTGTAGTTGGAAGCAGCGGAAAGGTATTCCTTGTTCATGTCTTTGATTTCTCAGTTTCTACTTCTTCCTTTAATATATAATGGTGCTGGGTAAAAGAATGTATGTCAATGAAAATGAATTAGTGTGTTTGGTATGGATATTGATAGTTGATATTGGCTGCTTTTGCTGCCATGAGCTGATTTCTTGAGTATTTGTATGACTATGCTTTCATCGACCACTCCTTGTAGCTGGCCTGTAAAGAAGTGATCAATTTATCTGTCCGCCTATAGAAACTGTCAATGATTTGTTCTTTGTGTAGCTTTGTACTTACCCATCATCTGTTTCTTGCTTACCTTTTGAAATGCTTGGAGCTTTTAAAGCCACTCCTCTGGTGCTCCTGAATTAGTCATCCTAAAGACCAATGCATATGTTTTTTCCTGCTTGCAACTTCTTTACTTTTTGCTGCTCATGGGTAATATTTTGAGCATAGCATAACAGAGAGGTTCAGACAAGAGGAGGGAGTGGGAGAAGAAGGGTGGTGTTAATAAGATTCAGAATGAAGTATGAGAAGTCTTGTAGTCGATGTTGACTACTTACATATGTACGTATACAGCTTTTTAGTGGGAACAAGATTCCCATGGTATCAACTAGATTCATGAAAAATATTATGAGAAAGGTAAGGCATATCTGATTTAAGATTACACTAATATACTCAACTTCCCCACTTCCTTAATGTAGCCAAAATAGTGCATAATAAGCTGCATCAGGTGGAGCTTGAGCATGCAATGTTCAATATATTGAGATTATTGGGGCTTAATTACGGGACAAACATTGAGCAATTCCAGGTCCCTACTTTTAGACCATTTGGAGGTGCACCTGCTGTTGCTGGCAAAGTTGGAGGCAGTGGAAAGGTATTCTTCGTTCATGGCCTTGCTTTCTCAGTTTCTAATTCTTCTGTTATATATGGTGCTGGGTGAAAGGTTGTTTGCAATACAGACAAATCTGTGTGTTTGATATGGATATTGAAATTTGATGGAGGCTGCTTTTACTACTATGAGCTTGTTTCTTGACTATTTCTATGAGTGTGGTTGAATCAATCACTCCCTGAAGCTGCTCTATAAAAAAGTGATCAACTTGGCTGTCCACCTGTAGAAACTGTCAATGATTTGTTCTTTGTGAAGCTTTATTCCGTGCCATTCTCTGTTTCTTGCTAACCTTTTGAGAAGCTTGGAGCTTTCAAAGCCATTCCTCTGGTACTCCCGAATGAGAGCCATCCTAAAAAATGCCGAATGCATTTGTTTTTCCTGCTTGTAACTTCTTTACTTTTTCGCTGCTCACGGGTAATGTTTTGAACTTAGCATAAGAGGTTTGGCGAAGAGAAGGGAATGGGAGAACAAGGGTAGTGTTACTGAATGAAAGGAGCTCTTTTGTGAAGGCAAATAATAGGCAGGTTAATTTAAAGGACCATTTGGTTATAAGTCATGGAACAAGGTGACTTATTTTTCACTTGAAAGTGTAAATAGTCTTTAAGTAATGGAACGCAATCTTTGAAATAAGTGTTGCCTCCAACTACGGATAAGAAATTTTGCTGTAGCAAGGTTTAACCAAGAAGAATTGGTTGCCATTGTTTCACAGGATCTACAATAACCAACCAAACACAATTGCTCCACATGTAACAGAGCCACTTCTCTGTCGTCTAAACCAGAAGCTTTTGTGGACTCGTTGTGTTCCATAAAATATGGGATACAACTCATGCTGGCGTTGCCTATCTCCCTTTTCACAAAAGATTTCTTTCCGGGAACCACATGATAGACTTACCAACACTTTTTTACTGCCTAATAGTGATGGATATGTCCAATAAGCTTATCACTGATGCAAACCGTAGCAACTTTTCTTTATGTTCTTTACTATCCACCTAAAAATGTTAATTTTTAAACTGAAACTGTATAAATCATGAAAGAATATTGAGAAATTTTCTCTGTATTTTCTTATTCACAGCTTGGTTTTTTTATACAAATCTATGTATAGATACAAAAGAATGTAAATAAATATTCCTATACACTTGTACTAAATCCTATTGGCTATTTACAAAACTAACTAATAAAAATATTCCTTTACAATGTACTATATCCATGTGTTATTCACGTGTGAAACTTTCATCTGAAATGTGTATCATTTTAAATGAATGGCTGTGATTCATTCTTCTCTTAATAAGCCAATGTCTCAGATGGAATTGAGAATTTGGAATCAAAGGCTTCTGATCTTGACACGTGTCAACCTTTAAAATAGATATCGTCATATCTCCTTCAGACATAGACTCATTCTCTTCACTGGAGACTCTGGAATTCTCATTCTATTCCTTCATCTTCTTCTTTCTCATTTCTTCATCTTCCTTTGAATCAATATGGGGGTTTTGAGCGTCAACATCCCCCCTCAAGATGGAGGGAGAGAATGGACCCCGAGCTTGCCCAGAATGTGGTGATGAGAAACCCCAGATAAGGGTTTTGTGAATAAATCGGCAAGTTGACAGTCGGATGGAACAAAAGATAGGGAAATTAAACCAGAGAGGAATTGTTAACGGACGAAGTGGCAGTCGAGGTCCACATGCTTCGTTCGCTCATGAAAGACAGGGTTCCGAGCAATGTGTATCGCTGCCTGGCTATCAGAATGAATAGGGACTGGTAAGGTAGGCTGTACTGTGAGATCTACCAAAAGTCGAACAAGCCAAGTGATTTCAGCAGTGACTCGACGCATGGACCGGTATTTAGCCTCGACAGATGACAAGGAAACTGAAGCATGTTTCTTGGACTTTCAGGAAATAGGTGCACCTCCAAGCGTAATAAAGAACCCACTGACTGACCGTCGAGAATCACAACACGCTGCCCAATCAGCATTGCAGAATGCCAGTAGATCAAAAGAGGGAGAATAAGATAGAAGAATTCCCTGGGAAGGATATGTGCGCAGATATCTCAAGACTCGTTGAGCAGCAGAAAAATGGGAACAACAAGGCTTGTGCATGTATTGACTCAGAGAGAGAACAACAAAGGAGAGGTCAGGCCTAGTGTTCGTCAAATAGTTGAGTTTACCAACGAGGTGACGATACAGACTTGGGTCATCCATTGGTGTCCCTAAATTCGCCCGAAGCTTGATGGAATGGTCAAGAGGTGAAGAAACCTTACCTCCTGGAGAATTGAATTCCTGCAGCGACTCCAAGGTAAATTTCCTTTGGCTGATAATGAAACCCTTTTTTCCCCTGAGTATTTCCATCCCTAGAAAATAATGAATAGCACCCAAATGTTTCACTTTGAATTCTGAATTGAGAAAACCAGTAATATGTTAAATTTCTATGGCATCATCCCCTGTTAGTAGGATATCATCCACATAAACTGCTAGTATAGACACAAGAGTACCATTGCGTTTATAAAAGAGAGAGTAATCATTTAGAGAACTAGAATACCCTTTAAAACTCAAAGCTCCTGCAAGTCTTGCATTCCACTGCCTAGATGCCTGTTTCCACCCATAAATAGACTTTTTCAAGAGACAAACTTGATTAGTTTGGGGTGCAGCAACACCTGTTGGGAACTTCATATAGACTTCTTCTTGCAATTCCCCATGGAGGAATGCATTATTCATATCAAGTTGTGACACTTCCCAACCTTTCTTCACAGCCATAGCTAAAACACACCTTATGGTGGTCATTTTGACCACTGGTGAAAAAGTTTCAAAATAATCAATTCCTTCCCTTTGAATGTTCCCCTTTACTACTAGTCTAGCCTTTAATCTCTCCACAGTTCCATCTGAATGGTGCTTTACCTTGTATACCCACTTACAAGGTAGAGCTTTCTTTCCTGGAGGCAAATCCACCACATCCCAGGTGTGATTCAGCTGTAAGGCTAAATTTTTTGCATCCATGGCAGCCTTCCACCCTGGGTGATTGCAAGCTTGTCCATAGCTGCTAGGTTCAGAGATAGTGGATGGGGATTGAACTAGGTGTTTATTTGTAGCAGATAGAGTCCCAAAAGAGAAAACATTAGGAATGGTTGGCTGAGTGAAGCAGGAATCTGTTAGATTAGTGAGAATGATGGCATTGCACACATAGTCTTTTAAATAGCTAGGTGCCTGGGAAATTCTATCAGACTTTCTTACATGTGGTGGAGGTGTGGGAATGACATATTTGGATGTTGGGTGAATAGGTGAAAAGGGTGGAGTGGATGATTCATCTAGAAGTGGTGTAAGATCAGATGTAGTGTGAGGTGAAAGGTGTATGGCTCTAAAGAGGTCTATGACCAGTAGGTGTTGAAGGAATCCTTGAGGGAGATGAATGTGTTGAGAGTACAGGTTGTTGCTGATGTACAGGACTTTCAGCACTAGGATCTGTGGAGAATGTAGAACAATGTGGATAGTAGGTGGATGAGTGAGCTAAATGAAAGGGAAAAACTTCTTCATGAAACATGATGTCCCTAGATACAAATACCCTTCTTGTTTCCATGTCCAGTACCTTGTATCCTTTTTGACCTTGAGCATTGTGAGCACGTGATTTTTGCCCTGTATGAGAATTACTCCAAAAAAATTCAAAATAAAACAATTTTCCTTTGTGTGCAATTTTTGAATTTTCGTAACATTTTTTTATAATTATTTGTATTTTTGCCTGTACATGTTAATGTGTTAAATTAATAAAAAATCATAAAAATATGTCGCATCTGCATTTGATATTTAATTAAGTTTGTTTTACAAAATGAAAAAATCATAAAAATAATGTACGTTGCATTTTTAGTATTTAATGTCCAAATTGTGTGATTTTATCGTTAATCGCTATTTAATTGTGTGTTAATTGCTATTAAGAGTTAATTAGTATTTCCAGATAATTTTGGGTTTTATAATTTAATCTTACCATTTTTTAGCTTTATTATTTAGGAAATTGAATAAATAGAGAAGAACAAAAATGGAAGAAGGCCGGATTGGGCCTTTTCTTCAATTTTAAACCACAGGCCCAAAGATACCCAACCTTCCCCTATGACCCGGTCCATTTCAAACCGGGTCGACCCAGTCCATAACCCTAAAGACCCAACCCCTTTCTTCATTTTTTCATCCCTCTCTTCATCTTCTCCAAAACTCCAAAACACACACATCCATGGCAGCTCGTCCATGGTTGCCTTCGAACCAACGACCACCCCTGTTGCGTCGTCTTCCTCATCGCCGACCACCTGAAGCAGTCGCCTCACTATCACCACCCTCATCGACCACCCTTTTTTCGTCGAGCAGCAGCGAGCAACAACGTCGCCCAGCCACTACTGCTCCAGCTCCAGTCCGTCTCCAAACGACCACAGCTTCGTCTCCTTCATCTTCAGCTACACCCCTCGTCGAACAGCATGGCCATGAATGACCATGGATGCCTCCCTCCCCGACGTGAGCTGCTGCTGTGTGCAGCTTAACCAGCATCTTCAAACGACCATCTTCTTCAGTCGAACCACCAGCATCCGTCGTCGACGACACTGCCCAGTCGACCTCCAGCTCGATCGCCCAGCAACGACCACCTGAACAGCAGTCCGTCAACCACCAAACGACCCTCAGTAATGTCGACCAGCAGCTTCCTCGACATCCATGGCTGCTCTGCGGCGTCGTCTTCTTCATCGCACATCACCCTCACCTATCGTCCTCATTGCAAGAGACGAGATCTTTCAGTCATGGATCGTCCGTTCGTGGTCGTCTTCGGCTTCGAGTTATTTTGGTGCGATAATTTTTTTCGGGCAGATTTGTTTTCATTCGAGTTCATCGTCGTTCCAATCCGGTTAGTGGGTTTAAGTTTCGTTTCTGTCCGTATTTTGTTTGATATTCTCGGATCTGAAATCAGTATATGTTTGATTTTTTTGTTCGTGTTTATCGTTTTTTTATTTTCTTCAGTTTGTTTCATTCGTTCTTGTTTATTTTTTATGTAGAAATTGTTAGTTTAATTATAATGTTGTTAGATTTAAGTTGAAGTTCAATTAATTATTTCTTCAGTTTGTTTTTATTCATTTAAAAGGATTTAGTTTTAATATAGAAACATGTTAGTTTGATAACTTGAATCCTTCGTTTTGACTGTAATATTGTTAGATTTAGTTTGAGGTTCAATTGGTTATTTAATTTAGTGATTTGAATCTGTTTATTTGTTCCGTTTAAGCTTAATTTGAATTTAAACTCAGTAATTTGAACATGCTTGTTTGTTATTGTTGTTGAATCTGAAAATAGGATGTTGTTTAAAAATATTGTTCAGTCAAAATTATTCCGGTCGTTTCTTTGTTGTTCATCATTTAGTTTGAATTTGATTAAGAATTGGTTATAGCTGTTATATTTTGGTTAATTGATTAGGTGAATTGGTTATAGCTGTTGATTTGATTTTAGTTCTTAGATAATTTTTGAAGTTTGAACAGATTTTTGAATCTGGGCAGTAACAGTAGTTTTAGGGGTAATACGGGAATTAACTAATTGCAGATTTATTTAATTTAAGTGCTCCGCCTACTAAGCTCTAATAATAGTAAAATATTATAGTGGGGGCAAGACATATGGTAGTGGGGGACAAGACATAATGATGTAAAGTAAAAAGGAAAGGGGATAATGATGAGGTCTTCTTTGACCGCTCAAAAAGGGGGAACCGTGGGGTCCTCGTTGACTGCTTTTACTTAAGTAAAATTTAGAAATAGTATAGGTAATAATAAAAGTTAAAAGTTATACATAGTAGAAGAATATTGAGAAAAAAGGAAGAAAGAGGTAAAAGGGGGTAGTAATAATAGTTTGAAAAAAGCAAAAAGGAAGGGGGTAAAAAGAAAAAAGGGAGTCTTGCTTTGGATATAAGAGGACTCATTTGACACTTAGAAAAGAGGGAGCTGAAAATAAGAAAGAGGGATTGAACATTCTGGAAATAAGAAGGGGTTGGACATTTTTGGGAACCTTAAGAGGAAATTCTGAAACATAGAAAGAGAGTCTTTAAGGTTTAGTTTAGTTCAACTAGTGTCGTTCCATTGAAAACAGAAAAGAGCTTCAGCTTTAACTGTCGAGTTGTGCTTTCGAATCTTCTCTTGACTGCTGAATTCTTGGGTTGTTTTCTGTTTGCGTTTCGATCGATATCTGGTTGCTTAAGTTGTCTTGGGGTCAGTTACTAGGGTTTGTTTGCTGTTGTTATTATTGGGAATTTTAACTTGGTTTCCTGAGTCGTTGCCGGTTCGGATTGCTGTTGTTGTTGTTGCGTTGATGTTGGTTACTGCTGCTGCTGACCTTCCTCTCTACTTTTCTCATTGTATTACCATTTCCAGGTACACATTTGTATACTCTTGGCTTGAGGCGAAATGAAGTATTGACCAGGCTTTGTTCCTGTTGAATTCCTCCTGTTAGATTTGTGCTTGAATAGATTTTTTTTTTCTTTGTATAAAAATGTAGTTGACTGATTAATGAGCAATGGGATTGCATATGTATAATAACTCCTTCATCTAATAATGTTAGTTAAATTAATCAAAAAAAAATATAGTTAGTTCGTTTATGATATCATTGTTCGTCAATTTCGTATTCTATTTATAATTTTAATCTTTCAGTAATATTCACTTATAGAATAAGATACGAAAACAATCTCTCTTTGTACAAGCTCGATTGCAATTTTCCATTTGCATTTGTCTTAAACTAATAACTAATAAGTTACGTCATTTTCAAGCATGTAATTAATTAGGACTTTTCTCTTTTACTTTAGAGATGAAATAAATAGAAATGTAGTCACTTTAGGATTGCCCTTTTAAAATAAATGAGACGAGTCTCGCCAAATAAAAAATGCACAAATTGCGGGGCCCTCAATAGATGTTAATAATTACTTAGATTTCGGGAGGGGCCATTTAGCGAATTTCACGGCCCTTCCCAAAATAATAACACGATAGTCTCTTTAGGCGCGTGTTTAATAATATTACCTTCTTAAATTCGGGTGTGCATTTCATGTGACCCAAATCCAAATCCCAAAACGTTGAATCAAATGTGTTCAGGATTGCGGGTGCATTTCATGTGACGTAATCCAAAGACATGTTTTAAACGATGTTCAATTTTCTTTAATAATTTGAATAAAAGCGGTTAAAAGTTAAAATTGGCATATAGGTTCACAATTGTATAAATATCAGATAAACAAGCCGAATATGACAGTTGAGTGACCTACTAGAACCACGGAACTCGGGAATGCCTAACACCTTCTCCCGGGTTAACAGAATTCCTTATCCGGATTTCTGGTACGCAGACTGTAATA